CGAACATTTATTTCACTTGCAAACAAAAGTTAACTGGTTAATGCAATTAATGATGATTGTGTTACATACACATAAAGCATTTTTGCCAGGTAATTTTTCAAATGAAACAAATTTCATGTCAGTGCTAAAAGGTCTTTAGAATGCAACTAAAAGGTGTTTGATGAAAAATAACATTTTTAGACATTAATTTGGGAAATAGAATTGGTTAAAATTTAAACGTGTTGGCTGCAAAAAACTAGTTTTATGACTAAAATATAAAAACTCTTTGAATCAAATATTTCTTTCGTGCACAGACAAAGGCCTTAAAGTGTTTTACAAAAATTACATTTTTGCAGTAATTGGTTAAAATTTAAACATGTTGGCTGCAAAAAAAATAGTTTTATGACTAAAAAATAGAAACTTTTGAATCAAATATTTCTTTCATGCACAGAGTAAAGCCCTTAAAGTGTTTTCAAAAATTACATTTTTGCAGTAATGACCTTTCAGCACTGAGCCAACAATTTGCAACGTGCAGTTTTGTGATAATTTTAAGTGAAAGACTTTTTTCTAATTCTCAGGTAATGTGGATGTACAACTTGGAAAATACAAAATGCACATAGAATTTTGTCCATGGAAAAACTTGAAAAAGATGAATAAAGAAATTGACTGGAGCAGGATTTGAACCTGTGGCCTCTGGAATACCGCTAGTGCTCTACCAACTGAGCTATCCAGCTCTATGTCAGTGGTTCTTCCCATTTGTCAATATCTCTGTTCGGGGGGGGCAAACTTGTTAAAAGTTAGGTTCAAAACAGCTGCTTGGTTGACCAAACAATGCTGGTAGTTTGGTTGCCTGAATGGAAACACCATTCAATTGTTAAAAGCATGCAATAGTTACAAGCTTTTAGAAGTATCAATGTGTCTAGAGTCTTTCCAAATGGTAATTATTTGCCAATTTTAAAATACATGTATAGCATCTTGATAACTTGTAATGTAAATATGAATATTTTTAAATGTGCATTAATATGAATCAATGCGTTATGATGAAAAGAAACAAATTAAAGGTGAACAACAGTCTGTCTTCAAAAGCAAACTGACCCAACTGTCTTCAGTTTACAGATTACATGTACCTCTTGAATCATGACTAAGATAGATGTACATGCCAGTACCAGTACAGTACAATGCCACTTACTATTCAGTATATGGAACATGCCTCTTGGCGCTTAAATTTTTAGCACACATTTACTGAACATCACAAATGTTCTTTAAATTAAAGAGAAAAAATTAGGAAAAAATTAAGATGTCAATAAACTCTGAAATTGAAACAGCCGTGTTATAGCCCATAGCAAAACAAGCAGCCACACAAACAAGAACACACCTGTATGTACATGTGTGTAAGAACTGACATTTCAAAATAGGAAGAGCACCTTCTTCTGCAAATGGCACCCTCTCTGTTTTGGCAAGTAGTGCCCTCTTTTGCCAGGACTAGTTTCCCGCTTTTTTATGGAAATTGGAACACATGATCTAGATTTTTAGGCCTATGAAAATGCAACAATTCGAGCAGTACCAATGAAATCGCAAAAGTTGGGGAGGCATGCTACACCAAGCATTGTGTATGGACCCTGCCCTGTTCATTATAGCAGCATTATTGTACTGAATACCGGTACCAATATACACTACTCAAAAAAATCAAAGGATCAGACGTAAATTTGTCTTTAAAAATTTCAGCCAGGTGTGTATCTCATTGACTTTACTTATTGTACACTGAAGCTCATGTTCATGCTTGGTTGAGCACCATAGAATGTGATGAGACAATGTAATTGGTTAGTTGCATTTCAGAGCCCAATTAGCTGGAAGGGTCAAAAGCATTGGGCAATGTGTATTGCTCAGGTATTGCACAACTTCAAAATGGCCACCTTTCATTCTCTTTGCACATAAATTAAGGATGGGATGACTCTGAGGCAAGGAGATGAGAGACTGGGAGTGTCTTGGGGGGGGTACAATGCCATGATTGAGAATGGTTAGTACAACCCTATTGTGGTACAATGACGTACACGTACAAGTGTCTCACTTCAGGACATTTTGAGAAAAGGTGACTGAAACATTGGACCTTTTACCACTTTGTGTTTAGGTTTTGGAAAACTGTGAAGCTGTTTTTTTTAAATGTCCTGACAACCACTAATGTGATTTTTTTTATCAACCATCATTGTAAAAATATGTGATTTAGGGGAAGATTTGCAAACATACAAAGTCAGCCATTGCACTACTTTACTAAGTAAGGGGTCTCAACCGTTACATGCAATTTTTTCATGTACGTGAACGTGTACATACATCTTCCAAGTGCTTATTTTCTGAGATTCAGAATCACAAATAGTGCCCTCACATTACCAGGATATACTATGAACAGCGCCCTCGTATTACTGAGGTATCATTCCAACTCATAAACAGCGCCCTCATATTACTGTGATATCATTCTAACTCATAAACAGCGCCCTCCTATTACTGTGATATCATTCTACCTCATAAACAGCGCCCTCATATTACTGTGATATTCTGAATCATAAACAGCGCCCTCATATTACTGTGATATTATTCTAACTCATAAACAGCGCCCTCGTATTACTAAGGTATCATTCTAACTCATAAACAGCGCCCTCATATTTCTTCGTTAAAACTCAGTTTTTTATACATCATTACAAGGCTGTAAAGGACCTGGACAAGAAGCTGGCCAAAGTTTCTTGTTTTGATGCCATAAAATAGCCAAATTAAATGACACTCATTGTTTGCGATGTGAATACCGTTTGGTTAAATTATTAAACACCACATATGATCCTTTGAGTAGTGTACAAATGCAGACAGACTTGCTCCATCCTAAGGTGGAAGCAAGCAACTGCATCTCTGAGAAGATTAATTGTCCTTTCCTTGCCTTTTTGTGAATCGTCGCCTAAGATTCTGATGAGGATCCCTCATGCAATCTTGGAAACCATTCCTCCTCAGTGATGGAGGCGAGGACTGGCATCTATTCAAGTACCTTCCTCTCCTTGACATTCTCATGAATCATCTTTGTGAAGTCTCATAGAATCTTGTCCTCCATCTTCCTTCTCTCCACTTTGAAGGAAGCGAGGGCGTTCTTGTCATCAGCATCATGGTCTGCTTCTCCTGGGGCGTACCCACAGCTTTCATATGAGGTGGTTGGGGAAGAAATGAATCACAAAAGAAACTAAGTTGGAGCAAAAACTGAGACAAAGAAGGATCCTTATATGCTTCTTATTTTTACGCCTTTTATTGCATTAAAATACTGTTAGTTTTCATCCATTTTCATGTCAGAAAATGAACTATGACAAGAGGATTCCTTTGACACTACACTGCTGACCCATTTCTAATGAAACTTCTGAAAATTTGTGATTTGTAATCTTTGTTAAAAATATTGTTCCAGGTACCCCTTCAGGGTTTACTGAATCAAAAAGTGACACTTAAAATTGTCTTTCCCTTTCCTAACAAGTGAGGGCGCTGTTTTACTGCAATGTTGATCAGGGAAGGCCATAAACCTAAAATATCTATGGACCAGCAGCTCCAACAGAAATCAACGATTGATCTCGAAAGTGTGGGCAAAAGTATTTCAACAATCTGCACCAGTCTATTAAGCTGGATACAAATTGGAAATTTCGGATGGTGACTAAAAATACTGTTAACTTAAGTGTTTACAACATGGTCCCTTTTTGTATTTTGGTTCAATATTTGCCAAAATTAAGGTAGATCCTTCTTTAAATAAGAGCTGTGAACACTTAAAATTTTGTCCATATTCACTTCTCACCTTCCAAAAGCCTGAACTCATCCCCATAATGAATGTCATTTTAATTTTTAGACTTTATTTTTGAAATGTTTTGGAAACAGTTCTCAGTGCCCAATCAGATAAAACTTGAGAAAATATGCTTAATTTGCTTTTCAGAGTATTCACTTAACAGGGATGTCAGGAATTTATCTGAATTTCACATAACGTGCACCTTGGCTTCTACTAATGACTTGTAATAATGGGCAATATTACGAGGAAGAAAAATTGAACTGTGCAGGGTTAGAACTTAAAGACCAAAAGGGTCAAATAACATTTGATGGACAATTGCCACAGTTGCCCCCAATCCATCTTCTTTGATGTAGAGCAGTGCTGCACAGCAAATCATGAAACCCCAGGGGACAAGGCAGCCATTTGCTCATAGTTATTGAAAATGGACACTTGTCCACCATTTGTCCCAGACGAATTTTGAGACGACTCCTTACCTGTGTTACTTATGACGTAATCTGCTTCTTCACTTTGGCAATTTCATCGGTCAGTCCACTTGCACCATGACGCTAGCCAGCCTCAATGTTCATGTAGGCAGCCATGGCAGCGCATTCACCTAGCAATGACGGAGGTCTTCCCAAATCTAAACACAGGGAAAAATGATAAAAAACAACCAGAATAGGTCACCTAAGATTTTTCAGTCACACTGAGATGATAATTTCTTCCCCTCATGAGCAAAACATCCATTTTTCAACCTATCACCTCTTTATTGTGGGTTGCTGTTAAATCTCTAAAACCATACAGTGCTGGGAAGTGCAGGGAGTAACAGGCTGGGTGGGGTCAGGACCCAATTTGACAGAGCTTCTTAACACAGAAGAAAAATTGTGCTAACTTCAGCAGAAAAATGTGCTAACCTTGAGCACTATTTCATGGCAGTTAAACACTTTACTACTGTTTAATTCTGTGTGGTTGGGGAAGGTTAGGGTTAAAGAGCTGGGGGGAGGGGCTAGGGAATCTACCCCCCTTTAACATATTTTCCAATATTATCAAGGTGCATATTTTCAAGAATCCTTTTGGAGTTTTTTTAATAACTCTTTTTGGTCATTCTGACACCATTTTTTTGAAAATCCAACATACCGTTCTCGCACAGCACCTTTTTTCTGAGAGAGGTCAACCAAGAATGTATACGTTTCCGCTGCTTTTCCAAGTGACTGTCTAACCATATGACAGATTGAGATAAAACTATTTGTATTGAGAAGGAAAATAGGGCCAAATTTACCTGTAAAAATTGATTTCTTCAAAGATGGTAAATATGTCTGACAAGTGGCAGCTTTTCTAGCAGCTGTTTTCTCCATCCACTGTTCTTGCTCCTCGTCACTGTCAGTGGCTGTCACTTGGGTCCTCACTGGAACTTGAGTCTCTCTTGAGCCCACTTCTTGAGAAGAACAAAAAGGAGATAAACTACTGATGTCATCACCGACTCTGGTGTTAACTTCTCTTAGTGGCTTCCTCCTACAATGAAAACAAAACAAAACAATGCATCCCTTCAGCTTTTACTCTTGCGACAGCAACATCCTTCATTTATTGTTGAAGCCCCTTAACTGTGCCCCTCCTAACTTTGGCGCAGTTTGATTTTTTGCCTCCAGTGCCTTGCCAGAGCAACATTTTTACCTCAAATTTTTACCTCAAGTAAGTGAAATTTCATCAAATCCCACTAATCTAACTCAAAACTCCTGATTTGACTCACCTACTAAAACTTTTCAGTGAATTTTTTATGTTGGCTCATTTTCTTTTTGTTTCACCATCAGTGCAAAATGGCCACTCCTAAACCTACCCCAATCTGGCAATCAATTTTCTAACAAACGTTTGTTTAAATGTATGCAAATTGAGGTAATAATACAAATTATCAAGTTTACAGAACTTCTCAAATGTTTATGAAGTGGTTTTGGCAATTTTTTTCAAGTGTGCCACGTGAGGGAACACTAACAGTCAAGATGCAATGGCACAATTACTTGATATCCTCGATGTTAGTGAAGATGTACCTGGTAGGCCTACATGTACGGAAAGAAATCCATTACTGATGCCACTAATATTCCCCTACAGTGACCTAACATTATTAGTATAAGTACTACCAGCCATCTCAAAGCAAAAAAAGGTGTTCTAAACATGCTAAAAGGTCAAATTTTAGCAGTGAAAATGTTGCTGGTAATAGAAAACACTTAAATATTTCAGACCAGTGTCATAAGGTTTTTCCTCCATAGTCCATTTGTGCAAAGTGTGTAAATCTGCATCAATCTTACATCTACATTGTACATGTATATTTATAAATTTTATTTATTTATCTGATCACCCAACAGCGCATTTAGCACCAATTACAGGATGATAATGAGTGAAGAAGGCAATGAAGAGATGTTCAATTTTAGAAGCGGGAAGAAAAGCCTGGATAAGTTTACATCATCATACATTAAGGAAGTCTTTCTGAAATGTACATGTACATGTGGGTCTATCCGCCTTGAGCAGAAGCACCCCCTCATTGGTCAAAAAGAGCCATGTTATGCATGTTGGTGGGGAGACTTCATTTACTGGTAGCAACGCAACCGTGATGCATGTTCTTCATCAGTGTCTCCTGTGGTGCAGTTCCCACCAAATGAGCCTCCGTTGCTAGGAAAATTGTGCCCTCTCATGGTCCCACCCAGGTCTCATACAGGTACATAAACCTAACTGAAGAGACTGAAAGTGCTGTCCAATCTGGGCTAGGTGACAGGCCCAGGCTGAGCATAAGAACATGATTGATGGAGAAAAGATATTCGCCATGTTTAGGAGGTTTACCCCAAGAACTGTGGGGTATGCTACAGGATGTTCTAAAGTCACAAATCTCTGTGACTTGTGGCCATGTTTGTTTATACAGGTTGCAGACACTATCATGCCCTGTTTTCCCACTTTGCGGATGCCACGGCACCACAGACATATAAACGCACAGACCACTAGCCTTGCACGGTAAAGTCCAGTTAAAAATCAGGGAGGGGGGGCTTAGGCCAAGTCCTGGTAGCCAAGCTGTCATTGTTTATAAAGTCCGAATCCTGAAGTTCTAAGTCTAAGTTCAAGTCTTGAGTCTTTGAAAATCCACTGATCTCCATGGCAACTGACAACAACTTACCACCGAAGTTACTGGTATATATGGAACCAAGTTTTTCATTGACTTTTGTGTCAGGCTTAATAGGCTAACATACAGTTTGGTTGCATGTTTGTAAATAAAGTGTTCATGCAATGTTAGATTTCTGAAAATGCTTATATGCCACAGTTTGTCAAGCTAACAAGAAAGTCTGGGATTTTGCCTTCTTATCTATGGTAACTAATGATGCATCCAAGTGCCTGGCCTTCCCAAATTACAAGGCCAGGCATCTCGTGCACTTGTCAGTTGGCCTACATGTGTAAATAAAGTGTACATATGCAATGTTAGAATTCTGGAAATACATGTACTTTAATACAGGTATGCTTGGGAGATTTTGTATTGATGCTGCAGCCATGAGCCTGCCTTCCTGAGTTGACAAGACCGAGTTGACTTGGGACCAAGGTGACTTGAGACGGAGTTTACTCAGAGCGAGTTGATTCCAGACCAAGTTGGCGACTTCACACTGATGCGCTATACACGTACCTAGTGTAGACTTGCGAACAAAAGATGTCCACACGACGCAAGAAAGGGAGACGTTCTGTGGACTTACACATGTCCACAGAACATTTCCCCTTCTCTGAAAAAGTTTAGACTTATAGTTTAGAGTTATAGTTTAGACTTATAGGGGCATTTTGGGGGTGTAAAAGAAAGAGGAACAGTCAAGGAAACCTTGGAGTACAAAGAGCCAGCTGAAAATTGTGTTCCCAGTTCAAGAAAAAAAATATTTTCACAAAGTTTTCTTAACTGCATGAAAAGAAAGGAATGTCCAGACTAGGTATGTAAGGTAAGTGGTGGTGAGTATATAGGGTGTTTACCTTGCCATGATTTGCCTGACCATATCCGAATCTTTGGAAAGGTGATTTGTAATGCTACTCAGAGTATTATTTCAACCGATCTCCATCATCCTGATGCAGTGGTGTCAAATACACGCACAACAAGCCAAAGTGAAGTTGCACTTGTTGCAATCAAGGGATGGCCTAGTATTACAGGTGCACATGAGCGCATCATCACACCCAACGACTTACAAGTTACAGACTTAGGCCTACCCCCAGAACTCTGGGGTCCGACGTCCAATTTGCTCATTTTACGTGATGTGTACAAACTCTAAGTGGGCATAGGCCTACTGAAGTATTAAAGTAGGCATGCCTAATGTTAATCCGAGTCCTACTCCTACATGTAGTCTCAACATCGTCTTTCCTTTCTCCATGATGGTCTCAAGGTCACGGACAAGGCCTATGAATTTTATTCCTGTGAAGTATTACTGTGTGGAATAATAAAAGCAAAATACATTGTACTTACTCCATATCACGTAGGCAGGTAGGTGTGCCAGCGATTCCCCAGAGAGTAATTTCTTACGTGTTGTCTTGATGATGTACACAAAGTCACGAAAATAAAGGAATTAAAGCAACCACCCCAGTATACAGAATACACATGCGCAAGTGTGCTAACCGCACCCACGTGTTTGCAGTGTGTCTGTCCGCCGGCTGATTTAAACACATGGACCGTGCTCAGGTACGTACAGGAGTTTTTCGTGATCTGCGCGGCGCCCGACTAAAATCACAACTTTGAGCAAATTTACCCCTCGATATAGAGGGAATTTAAGAATAGTTGAAGAATTTCAGTCATAAAATTCTATGAAGCCATTTCGATTGTAAAAAAGCCTCTGTTTAATCTGGTCCCAAGGGATTCAAAACAATGCTGTTGCAACATCTGAAAAAAAGAGTTAGTTGAAACTTTCAAACATCCAAGATGGAAGAAAGAATATGAATACAGGCTTGATAAGTGGTTTTCAATGTAACACGTTCCACCATAGTAACATGGGGTTGCATGTTTGAAAAGAGTTCGTAAGTATTTGGCTCGCGGAACAACGGGGTCAACTCTAATATATGTTTTCCACTAACCCCTTTTAATTTGCAGTTACTTATGCTGGATTAAAAGGGCTCTACTTGTCCGTATCATATTTGTGCCTCAGCAATGAAGGTTGTCCGAGGCTATAGATTTATTGGTAGATGGCCAGATACGAAGCTGGCTTGTTATCTTCCTCTTACTGAATGGTTGGAGTTATGTAGTTTGCCCTTTCAGGCATGTCACACTAGCTAAAATTGCGATGGTTTCAATATAGACTTAAAGAATCTAGGCCGTTAACTCTTATTTATTTAAGGAAAAAGAGATAATGACATTTTTTTTTGTCAAGCTGAGAGTGAAACTTTGATGCATCTCTTTTGTACTTGTGAGTTTTCCACCTCTTTTAGGAATCAGATCGGCGATTGGCTTAAAAATACCTTGAACGTTAATTTTGTATATCTTTTTCGCATTTCAAATAACTCCAGGAATGTACTCATCTTAATTCTTTTGCTTCGCCGCTCCCATATTTATAAAATGAAAACGAACGGGGGGTAAACCATCATCTGTATTGTTTAAATACGATTGAAAAAGATATTATGCCTTAGAAAGATTCATGTTTACCTCTAACAGAAATTCGGCTAAATTCAGCACTGAATGTGGTCTTTTTTCTTTGCTGTGTAATTGATTACTGTTTAATGTGAATTGGCTGTGTTTTGGTTTTTCTTCTTTGTTAAATCTAATGAAATACACAAGAGAAACTTGAATAAAAGGCCATGAGTTGGGGCGAAAATTATAATTCGACCTCTGAGAGAATGAATATAGTAAGTAGGATCGGATGGAACCTTCAAGTTTTCAAAGAAGTGGGTGTCTCAAACTAAATAATATATTCAGCAACATGTACCGGGAGATAAGACTTGCGTCATGCATACTGGTCAGTGTTGTCAAGGTCAAACGGATTTTACATTTGTTGGAGGCAGAAATGAGGCCAGATCAAACCTTTACACGCGCTGCGAATTCGCAAAAGTGTAACACATTTCAACTCGAGCGAAGTTTTGGGGCAAATCTTTCGTGGTGTCCATTTTGCTTCGCTTGCACATTTTCCTGTAGTATGAACCGGTCTTTACTCAGAAAAAAAGACCGTCAAAATCTGACGTTGTTAGCTTACGGTTCTGAAACTATTACTGTCGTCAGCAAAGTGGAGAAACATATATATTACCTTGTGCAAAAACTTGAGAGTCGAACACCATCACAAGTGACTGTAGAATAGGAAGTAAGACAAGCCAACTTCGATGCGAATTTGCACACCCACCCATCATGAAAATGACAAGTTGGGTTTCTCTCAGGCATGTAGGCCTATATAAAAATGCGCTTTCACTTTTTAAGTCCACTTTCCACTTGCTGTCGTTATGAGGAAATAACTTATCTATGACAGTGTTTTCTCATGTGTGATGAATTTCCAACAAAAATATCAGTTCACTAGTTTTGCCTGAGAAAGCCTAAAGGCTCGCTGAAGATTTTTTCTTTGTAAATGGTATTGAGAAACACTCGACTACAGTTGACGGCATCATTCTGAATGTCAAATGTCAACCTTTATTTTCAAGGTTTTTTCCTGGTTCTTTTTTAACGTCATTTTACACGGGGAGGGCTACTAGTACCTGATGGATCGAATTCCAAGCCCCCCCCCGTAACGGTTGAGTGAACGTCCGCCATGTGTGTGTCAAGCCTACGTCAGTATGTCTTTGATGTACATGTACATGTAGATTACCCAAAAAGGACTGGTAGCAGATTCCCATGCAGTTCTATTTGACTAGTTATGACATTACGCTTCACATCATTTTTGGAACTTTGAAAGCACCTTATTTAGCAAGATCCATTGTATCCATGTGTGTGAAAAGTCTCGTTCATTTGTAATTCACAACCAGAATGAAGTTTTATGATTTATTATAAAGATTCAATTGAACTTAAATTGGTCCAGTTTTCATAGCGCTGGGGTAATCCAAAACAGGATAAATACATGCATTTGCATGTAGAATATATGAAATAAATAAAGATAACTCAAATTGGGACAAATTGCACAAATTTCTGAGGAGGAAATCGCTCCTCAAATCAACTAGTACAACTTACAATAACAAGTCGAAATACTGACTTGTAGATAGGCAAGTAGACCATAACTTTTGTCCCGTCACGGAGACATTTTCCCTCGAGTTCCGGGATAGGCCTACAATGCTCTTTACTTTTCCTGGTTCACCGAAAAAGTGGAACAGGTGCAATAAGCGATGCCTGTTAGGGAACTGTTCGATTGCTGCGATTAACTAAAAGAAGGAATGCATTCTTGGAAAACAACTTGGTACATTATAAAAGTATCGCTAGAATTTAAGATTCAGTTATTTTGTATAAAGCAAGACAGAAGGGGTTGTAGATCGACAACGGGCGCATCTCATATGTCACTCTTGATCAGGGCAATTTATTGTCATTGGCAGATTGGATTTTTTCTTCATTCAAGACCACAATGCTGCATGTTGATAGTTTCTCGCGTCATGTACGAGCCAATGCTGAAGCCAGATATTTTGATGAGAATATGTATACGTGCATTTTATACATAAGCAGCGGACATTTCTCGCTGTGCTTTCGAAAAAGGAAGCCCACGATGTTTCTCCTAACTTAATGTCTGAGCTACTGCACTATTTGTTCAACACACCAACGTTCTCATCTGTAGCAACTTCTGTTGCTTGTGGTTTTTATCTTTCAAGTTTATGCCTGAAGCAACGTATTCATCAGTAATCGTTTTTAATATAAGGGTTCACAATTCATACGCGTAAACAGCTTCAACTAGTTTAATTAAGCAACAATCTGTACCGACTTGAAGTACCCCCTCACCGGCAAAGAAGAGACAGGCGGGTGGAAAGTAAATTTGTACACCACATTCTGCAGATGATGAGTGGTAGTGTAGGACTTTATTTTGAATAATTTTATGAATCTTCTGAAACTGGGATCAGTCCTCAATGTTAACATTGTTTTATTTATCTCACAACGTTTCCTCGACTGTTAATAGTGTGGAGGGGTATTGGGGACATGTTTAATATCTTTGATTTGAATGGATTTTTCCCAGCGGTTTGGCTCCCGATTGGAGGAGAAATGAGTTTACTCTTTTAGAATTACACACTGCAATGTATATCAGCCCGAAAAGGGGTGAGAAAAGAACCAAAATATATAAATATCAATAATGGAGGGACTTGGAACTAGTCTAAGGTCCATGTGTGCTCTGCAGTCAGGTGCCCTGACGTCATCACCCTACGTCAGGGGACCCGCCCGAACAAAGTAATTTGCATATCTCCCCGCGTCGCTATCGATCATGGTACCCTGCCCACCACAACTAACAAGGCAACACAAAATCCACGGCAAAGAACCGTCGGGTACCATTACGAATATGCAAATGAGTTTCGATAGTGCGCGGGACGATGATCGGGAGCCGTTACGTTTGTACAAAAGACGATTGCAGCGGTGGTTTTATCTAGGCCTATAGCGCCAGAAACTGTGTTTACATCCTCAATTTTCACGTGAATTTCGATAATTCACACGACCACAGGTATTTTTTAGTGTTACATCATTACATTTTGAGCATCTTTGAAAAGTATTTTGATTTGTTGTGTTCACAAAATGAGTGCTTTGAAAGGGGGTATGTGTTTGCCAATCATGCCGATTTTTGTTGGCCCAATTTGAATTTTTATATCACAACATTTCGAAATCATGTTTCACTTTCCTTACGCCATGTAAACTTTAATCGGTGAGAGTTACCATGCACGGGCATCTCTTATTTTCCCTTACAATGGTTTATTAGACATCAGAAACTCGAGAAAGTTATAACATGTCCTATAAAGCCAAATATTTCAGGGAAAATATCGAAGCATTCTTCACAATTGCCAGTGAAAACATGCCCGGACGCTCGGCCATGCACAGGATGCATGCCATGACGGCTGCGCTACAAATTACAATTTACCCGTATTAACCTTGGCTAGTCTGCAGTCAGTCAGTAGTTAACACAGACTACACAGTGACTGTGATTTTTGTTCAGATTTTAAAACGTGACAAGGGGACAAGCCGACTCATTACCAAGTTGAGGCATAGGCCTATCACCAATCACTGGCTGGAAAGAGGCAACACGGCAATCATTTCACTGACAAAAAACACTTGTCGGGGTTTAGGCATGGAGAAATGTGTTTTATTCCTCCATGGATTAGGTTTGCCAATTTTCTGAACTTAAACGTCGTAGGCCTAAGGCCTATTCGCTATTTCCACTTGTTTGTTACTATGTTTGGCAGTGTGATAGCAATCACATTCATTCATGACTTAAGTACATGTATATTGTAGATTGATCTGACCTGATTTCAAACACAGTATTGCATTGAGTTGCAGGTTTTTGAACTGTAGCCTAGGTTCGTTTGTATTTCCCTCTGATTTCATTTCTCTTCGATTTTTTCTTAGCATGGATAACATGGAATGCTCAATTGCTGGTGATGAATCTTCACCAGCAAGAACGATTCTCACCGTCAAGAACACAGAAGAGTTGTTAGAAGCCATCGAGAGTCTGTCCTCTGAGAATGTTGCCATGAGTGTTGAGGTCCAACATGAAACTCTGGAATCTGAGGACAACCAGGCAACCGGTTCCCAGCAGTATCAATTTACCACAACAGACTACCAGCAAGGCCAGATCCAGCCTACTGATGCACAACAAATTGAGTACGTCACCGAGCAGGTTGAGACTTCTCAAGTACCTGTCGGTGACATGGGAGAGGAGCAGTTGATTACTACCACGCCTCAAGTGGTCTTTCCAGGTGGTAACCAGGAAGGAGATGTGGACAAAACGATCCAGATTGTCACTGAAGCTGCTCAAAACCAACAGGTATCTGCAGATGGTCAACCTGAATACCATTATATCTTACCTGATGCCCTGGTCTGTGCTGAGCAGGTACAAACTGAAACTGTCCAGTCCAGTTCAGATGTGGCAGTTACAGGCCAAAACGAGATAGCTTCCAGTCTTCACTCAGGTGAACTACCACCCACGGTGTACCGTCAGGGCCAGGATATTCATAGCTCTTTGGAAATTGCATCAGCTGTTGAAATTCTGACGGGACTAGCTTCAACCATCACTACTCAGCTTGGGTACCAGGAGGCCAAACAAGTTGTTGACAAGTCTGTCAAACACAAGGAGAAGAAGCACAAGAAGAAATCCAAGAAGGATAAATCTGACCACTCAAAGCGGAAGAAATCTAAAAAACATAAGAAGGACAAGCAACCGAGTGAGCCAGAACCTAAGCCCAGAAAGACCGATGGAGGATATCACGAGTGTCCAACGTGTCAGAAGACATTTGGTACAGCAGCTAATCTTAAGAGCCACTTGGTGTCCCACACTACTGAGCGACCGTTTGCTTGCGAGACCTGTGGAGCCACTTTCAAGCGACGACGATATCTACAGCTTCATAAGAATATCCACACACAGGCTAAGATCTTCGAGTGCACCTACTGTGACAAGACCTTCTTGATGAAGAGCTGGCTGCATAGTCATGAGAGATATCACACTAAGCCATTCTCCTGCGATCTCTGTGGTCGGGCATTTGGTGACAAGAAGATTCGAGATGTCCATCGGAGGTCCCACACTAATGAGAAACCATTTGTGTGTGCAGAATGTGGCCAAGCTTTCCGATCCAAAGCGGTAGCCATCAAACATGGTCGTAGGCACTCTGGTTTAAAACCCTATGTCTGTAAAATTTGTAACAAGGCATACACTCAAATCCACAATCTCACAGATCATGAGAAAACCCATGTTGATGATCAGACATTTGCTTGTAAGACCTGCGGCAAAGTGTTCTATGCTCGTAGCAGTCTTAGACGTCATCGCATAAAAGAACACCCGGATGAGAAAACAGGTGTCCAGAAAATCCCCTTGTCACGCAATCAAGTCATAACAAAAGAACCTGGTGTGTTTGAAATCATAAGAAAACCATATGTGTGTAAAGTTTGCACCGAAGGCTATAAAACCAAAAAGTCTTTGAAAATGCATGAAAAAATTCACGAAGCAAGCCGTGTCTGTCAGTACTGTAATGCTGTGTTTGTCTCTCGATCAGATTTAGTTATTCACATCAGGTCCCATACCGGTGAGCGTCCTTTTGCTTGCAGTATCTGCGGGAAAACGTTCACCTCCAAAAAAGCAACCAACAGGCATGAAAAATCCCACAGTGGGGTGAAGCCATTTGAATGCAAAACCTGTAATAAGAGATTCACCCGCTCCTCCAATCTCAAAGATCATGAGCTTATACATGCAGGAAAGAGCAAACGTTTTGCTTGCAGCGGTTGTGAGAAGATCTTTGCATCGCGCAGCGCTATGAAGAGTCACGAGAGGCTCAAGCACGGTCCTGGTGCCACAGTCACCACAGTGACCACGGTTGACCAGTCAGCACCTCAGCCAATTACACAAGATGAAACGGCTGAACAAGTCGAGCTGTTTGAGATTATTATAGCTGCTTCGGGGCAAGCAGAGGAACAGGTGGCAGAGGTAACAGAGATTGGAAGTGTGGTTGCAGTCTCTTGAAAATACAACCTCAACTCTGGACAAACTCTCAACCTCAAATCTAGAAAACCTAGGTTGAGGAACTTTGCATTTCGATTTTTAAATCATTTCTTTGAGATTTTTTTGAATTAAGGTTTGTGTAGAAATATGCTGTAGGTGTTAAGCCCTAAATATTTCTCTCCCGAGGTTTTTAAAAAATAGTTAGTGAAGTATTTAATTCTTGTTTCTGTAAGAGGAAGAAAAACCTCCAAAAAATGGAAAGTAGGTAAAACTTTTCATATTCTCAGACACAACTACAATGCATTTTCACAATTCTTTCGTGGAATTTAGTCAGTGATTTTTGCCTAGATTTTCTTTTTTTTCTTGAGGGTGGTTTTTAGTCTGTTCTTTTTTGGTTTTGGGGTTATTTATTTTAATCACAGGAGGAAATTCAAATTATGTAAACATTGGCATTTTAGCTAATTGTACTTGTAAATACAAAGCTCTCAAGGATAAATGTGTAATTTGGATATTTTTCCTCAAACTCTACATTATTGACCATTTTCCAAAAAGTGTCAAAAACTATTTTCCGTATGAAAATCTTTTTACGTGTAGATTGATTCTAGACACCTTGCAAAATTCAAGATTTCTACGGCAATGTATGATGTTTGTTGGAAACATAGCAGCCCCTCATTTTTTGTTTTCTTCAGTGTTGAAATCAGTTTTGCAACAAGATCAAAAATAAAAGTCACTGACCTTAGATATGTTGGGTTTGGAGCTGAAGACTTTCACAAGATTAATGAAAATTTGTAAACTAACTGACTTAAACTGATCAAACATGTCATGTACCAATGCACACTAAAACAATTAGTTTGTTTGTAGCATTATATTTTCCATCTACATGTACATCTAAATGTCCAGTTATTTAGGATTTACATTTCAAACATACAAGAACCAAGTTCGGTGTGCACAGTAGACAGGAAATCCTGTGCATGGCTTAGAGAAAAATTAAATGATTAAAGACTTGTACATTTTAAATTTACTACAATTTGTTCTTTCCATATGGCGCGAGATGTTTCTATTTACTGTTCTACCGACAGTTGTACAAAGATAATTTGGGCAGTGTTTATTGTTTATAATTTGTTCCAGTGCTGTGAATTTCTTGTAAATGGAATTAAAAATGTTTTATTATCGTTAGGCTTAATACTGGTTTGTTTTTCCTTCAAGGTTGGGGTTTTTGGTCAAGATTTATTGTATTAAATTGAAGTTGTTGACCATATGACATGATTGATTTTCTGGAAGTTTGTAAATTTACATTGTATTTTATATATATGCCCATTTAAACAGTGTAGATCAGTCTGTCCTGTCAGAGGAATAGAAAATAGATATCAACCTAACAAGCTCACCTGTAGCTCCATTCATGATGACGTACAATGATCAACTCCCAAGTCTCTTGATTTCTTGGGGTTTTTTTTCAGTTTATTTGTGGCAAAGTTGTGGTTGTAATAGGAACTTCGCTCATTTCTGGTAACTTTATTTTGAATGAGAATTGATTGTACATGTAATCGTAATGACCAGTGAGTGACAGTGATAATGGAATTGAAGTTATTTAAATGCACTGTGACTTCTGAACTCATTTTAAAATTTTCTTCCTCGCGTTACAGTTGCTATTCATCCAAAAAGTGAAATTCCACCTAGATGCTTCTATGTTGGTCACATTTTGTGTCATGGTAAAGGTTGTGTTGTACATATAATTACATATCTCATCAGTTATATTTGGTGATTGTAATCTTATGTGAAAATTGGGACAATGACAGTGTTGAGAATAAACCAATGAATCCCATAATGCCTCTGGCCATTCTGCTTGTTGCTGTTCAAAGAATAATAAACATTTGGAATGGGGCAGATGGTGAGGGGTTCTTACAGGCCAACAAACTATGAATGTGAAATACTATATATCTAAAGCTTATAATTGCTTACTTGGGGAAACGTGTAGCTCCTGTTTACTTAAAACGTTGTTGCTTACACCTAAAATTCAACCTTTTTGTCTGGTGGGAGGGGGTCACTGAGTCATGAACATGCAGTTAAAAATGTTATTTGCATTTAAATACGACAGTAGAAATCCACACGAAAGCTGTGTACATCTAAAATTCTTTTATTTTGAACATTCCTGTACACATGGGTAAGTTTTAGATCACTGAATGTATACGTGCAATGAACTGAGTGAAGTCAGGAGTGCTAGATTTCAGGTTTGGAAGGCCTTGTCTACATATAGAGTTTTGTAAAGTTGCCGGTCTTGTGCGGATCACGTTATGCAGGCCACCAAGGTCACAAGCGACATTCAAGTGAACTGTAAGAAAGAGATTCCTGTTACTCTTCACCCTCCTTTTGTGTCCAGACTTGAAATGGGATTTTGATACACCTGTTCTGGACTCAAATGCAACTTGCTACTTTTAGAATGTACATGTACACTGTAACAGACATGTCCAGCTCCGTGGGCAGTGTTGTCAGTACCATTTGACCAGTATAGCGCCAACTACTGGTACAATTTGTAAAACGGTAAAGGTGTCCATACAGAGTTGGTCAAACTTTATGTACATGTCCTGTACATTGAAAATAAAATCCCATTAAGGATCAGATTGATAAATGCAATGAATGCTTTCGTTGCATTTCTAGAATAACTGGGGGATTCATACATAAAGTTCCTGGTTTGTACCTGCCATGAAATGAACATTGTCCACTAATCTTGGCAGTAAACAGCTACTAGTTTCTTTCACAATGTGAGACCCAAAATGGGAGGATCAAATGTAGACAATAATCAAGAATTGAAGATTTGTATGAATATGTACATTCTTTAATATCATGATTAAGGCAGCTAAGCTACGCTGGATTCATCCAAATAAATAACCACATTCAAAACAACTTTTAAGCTGTTTTAAATGAGAAATTTTTCTGTCTCTTCAATGTCATGACTCATTTCACACGGAGGCATGTAAGAGATGATGGTATAACAAGAAGATAAAGTAGGAAATTTGAGGGGCATACTGGTAAAGGGTTGAAAAAAGGTGTGATTTTCCAATTTCTTTATGTGTGCTGAAACAAAAAAGCGATGGAGTGACAACCTGTCCGTACATGCAGTGTACGCAGATGGCTGTCATTCATTTTAGGTAATATAAACCAGTAAGCATATAAAGGGCATTCTCTCCACTACCTTTGTCCCCAGGTAGCAAAGGTGACTGGCACCTTTAGGGGTAACTATATTGTTTTCAGTGTAATCATCTTTTGATCTGGATCTTTGAAAATTAGGTGTTATAAAATTCGGTGGTATAAAAAAACAATCAGCAATAAATTCAAAACGGTTTCAAATCTTACCTCCTTAGAAATGAACAAAATCTGTGTCAGTGGTCACAGGATGAATATGGATTTCTTTCATGGACAATCTTACAAACACAGTTCACCAGCAGCTAAGAACTGTAATACTGAGCAATTCTGTGGGCCATTATTTTTTATGAGAATTAATCACACAAGTTTGACCATTCCAACCAGCCTTACATTGATTATGGCATGCAAGAAATACAATAGTTTACAGAAATTCTTAAAAACATAACAAACATCAAATACAATCTGCACACTACAGCATTTCATATTTACAAACAAGAGATGAGCTATTTTTACAATTTTTGTCTTCAAGATAAAACCCTCTGCTTCTCTGGATACAAAAATTCCTTCAGAGCGCAAATGAAAGGGACATCAGAAAATGCTCTCCTTTTTCTCTGAAAATATCAAAATTCTTGTCCCAGTAGAGGAGAATATGTATACTCCAAGATGAAAATCTAACAACTGTGTGATAAAAATTGCTGAATAGTATTTTGCCTTCCTCTGACAATTCTACGTGCAATATATGCCTCCAATTCTAAGGGCAATGTATGCTTCCAACTCTATGGCAAATATATGCTTCGTACTCCATGGCAAATATATGCTTCGTACTCCATGGCAAATGCATGTTTCCCATTCTATGGCAAATGTACGCTTCCAATCCTATGGCAAATGTATGCTTTCCATTCTATGGCAAATGTATGCTTCCCATTCCATGGCAAATGCATATTTTCCTGTTCTTTGGCAAATGCATGTTTACCAATCTATGGCAAATGTACAGGTATGCTTCAATTATATTGCAAATGTATGCTTCCAATTGTATGGGAAATGTATGTTCCAATTGTATGGGAAATGTATGCTTCCAAGTATATTCCAATTATATGTACAAGTCTTCATCCCTGAAAGGCAAAAAATCACAGGGAATTGGTCACCAGCCACCCACAATGCCTCACAGCAGAACTGATCAACATGTACAAATTTTGTTAGGAGGTATTTAGTCATGCCGTATCTTGACTGGGCTTCTAGATCTATGGCTATGGATTTTTGGAGTGATACATCAGTGGCAAACACCAAGTCGTAGCCAAAAATACGATGGCTTCAGGTGTAGCCACAAAGAAACTACAGCAATTGCAATCTTCCAAGAAGATATTAGACTGTGCATGATGGACTTGGCTCTGGCTTCAAATTGTACATGACTCTATGAGAACTGGCTTGAGCCACAACCAAAGACTTGTGTACAACTTCAAGCTGCAGCTAACTAGTTCAGACAAAGCCTGATTGGTTAGCAACTTTATGTCCTATTAGCAATAACCAGCAGGGAACCAGTGAAGTGTAATATACATTACACAATACTCCTGGTACAGTTTCAGCTCAGCATGAATGTGATGAAACATAAATCAATGGGAACCATCAGCATTGTCTATTTTTGTCAGGACGGTAAATAGGTCATACATCTTAACAAGTTCACTCTGCTCTTCCTCACATTACTAAAAATAGCATTATTGAAAATAGGGCTTAAGAATCATTTTGTAGGACCTGGTCACAATATTTTCCATTCTGAAGCAGATTTCTTACGGTGTTTACATTCCCCTCCCCTAGGTTCCCAGTTCAAACCCTGAGTATTTCCATACAGTTATTGTAGCAGATGGCAATCCAGTCTGGTTGAGTGGAAGCCCATTGGATATGGTTGATTTCTCCGTCGGCAGTGTAGGCTAAGATAGGATCTTCAATGGCACGAGGCATCTGCTGAATATCCCAGATCAGAGCCTGGTGATCGTCCGCTGTTGAAAGACAATGATTAAGTTCAGCCACTGGAAGAAAGGATATCAGCGGACAACATAATATAGGTTCATCTTTAGCCACTTGGGAGTAGGCCTTTAGCCACTTGGGAGTAGGCCTTTT